ATGTTGTGTCATGTCGGGGTAAACATTTTAAAGGTTGGAAAGTAGGAAACTGGGAGCAAAAAAGGAAAAATTGAGACACTAGAGTCAGGAGGTGGAATGAAAAAATTTATAGTAAGTTTAGAAAACAAAATAAAAAGAACTAGAGTTGGGAAGCAAAAGGGATAACTGGTAAAGAGGAGTAAAATTAATTCAATTTAGAAATTAGAATTTTACTTTGAATTCTTGAGTTTGACCCACTACAAGTCTATAATATATAATATGTTTATAAAAATATGAAATTTATAAAAGATTATATATAATTAAATGGTTCATATTCGAGTCATCTTCGAGTTGAGAGTCTTGACCCTAACAATACCCGTTTAATTATCGTGTCGTGTCGTGTTAACCAGTTTACAGAAACGTGTCGAAATCTCTTAGTCAAACCCGTTAATTTCGTGTCGGGTTGTTGTGTCGTGTCAATTTTTGCCAGGTCTAGTGGGTGTGATACACCTGGTCTTGGTCACAACGTGCTTCCATTGACTTTAGCCATTGACTTTTTGAACGCTTTGTCTTTTGGTCAAACTTTAAGGATTCAAGTTGTATGTTGAGGTTTTACCTCTAATTGGTATCTATGTGGTTCGTGAGATTGTTTCCTACGTGTGTGTACGTTTAGATGTAATTTCCCAATTTTCGATTCAGGTGAGTTATCTCATTATACTATGTGTTATACTATATATCATTTGTATGAGATCATATAGTTGTACTATGATAGTTTCGATTCAGGTGAGTTATCTCATTATACTGTGTGTTACGGTATATATCATTTATATATCATTTGCATGAGAGGATATAGTCTTTTGTATGTTGATTGCTTGATTATATGATATGTTGATATGTATTTTTGAAGAGTTGATGGTGGATCGACATTAGAGTCGAGAACCTAGAATACTTGTGTCGGTGACTAGATGTGCATTAGAGTCATTAGTCGTTGATGAGTAGAATTACATCAGAGTTGTTTGTTGTCTTCTATTGATGACTAAACATGCACTAGAGTCGTTAGTTGTCGTTAATGATTAGAGATGCACTAGATTTGTTAGTCAACATATGTTCAACTGGATCAGCACTAGAACCGAGAGTTTTTGTTTGTATACATTGTATGTGTATTGAAGTATATGGTATTTTGGTAAACTCAATAAGCTTTGTGTTTATAGTTATGAATTAAATGTTTTTCAGGTACTTTTGTTGTTAGATTGAATGACCCAGTTTGACTGTATCGCACGTGCATCGCTGGGATTTCATAATTTAGACTTCCGTTGTTTTTATGATGATTCTATACATTTATAATATGGTTTGATGTTGTCAAAACAATTCGTTATCTTGCTCTTTTATGGAAAATGGTTTTAGAAACTATGCTTATACTTTTTAAAAATGAAAATTATAGTCGTGAAATATATATACCAATGTTTCCATTAAATTTTCGTTTTATAAGCTTAATTGGGTGTAAGTACAAGATAATTGCTAAAATACTAGCCAACCGTCTTTATGGAGTTATTTGTGAGAATGTTATCTAATAACACTTTGTTTTCATTAAAGGTCTTCAAATTCTTGATGATCTTTGTTTTCATTAAAGGTCTTCAAATTCTTGATGATCATTGGTAAATTTATTGAATGGTATATAGAAGCAAGCAAGAACCCTTATACAACTCGATAAATACACTTGATAAATACACTTTGTTTTCATAAAGCCTTCAAATTCTTGATGATCATTAATAAATTTATTGAGTGGTATATAGATGCAAGGAAGAACCCTTGTACCACACAATAAATACACTTTGCATTCATAAGGTCTTCAAATCCTTGATGAACATTAATAAATTTATTGAGTGGTATATAGAAGCAAGGAAGAACCCTTATACCACTCGATAAATACACTTTGTTTTCATAAGGTCTTCAAATTCTTGATGATCATTGATAAATTTATTGAGTGGTATATAGAGGCAAAGAACCATTATACCACTCAATAAATGATATATCACAAAACATGGACCCCTATATCACTCAATAAATGATATATTAAAAAGAGAAATTAAATATCCATCTACTTTTCTTCTTACATATCTTCCTATCCATTTGAAATGATGACAAATGTATTAAAATATTTTTAATTTTATCTAAATATGAAACATATCACAAATTCATTAGGTAGGAAGATAAATAGGACCAAAATGTAGAATGATATTTAATTTCATGTTTATATGGTGTTTTTGGATTAGAGCTTGTTTAAATTCAACAATGACTTTGGTGTTGATCAGCAGGTCACAGACTAGTGAGTTCCAAATTAAAAGAGGATTACCCCAAATATATCTATTATATCTTTTTGTATTCATTCTGCCTATGGTATGAATGCATGAGGCTAGAACACAAGGAGTTTTTCATGTAGTTAAAGTAGATAATGAAGATTTTAATGATTTCTCACTACTTTTTTTACGAAATACATGATGTTTTTTTGTTGTAACAAGAAAATATAAGAAATATTGTTACAGTTTTAAGGTGTTTCTATCTTGCTTTCGGGCTTATAAGCAATTTGTAGAAAAGCAAATTGATGGGAGTTGAAGTTGATGTTAATAAGATGGAGGATATGGCGGGTCTTATTGGTTGAAACCATGACAATTGGAATCAATTTTTATAGAATATGACTAAACGTGCAAAAAGATACAAACCACAAGGACCAAAATTGTCACTTACTCAAATTTTATTAAAAAATTTCTGTTTTACTTACCCTACTTATTAATTAAAAGATTTAGAAATTATGACATATCTGGACCCACATATTGAACCTTCCACCTTTAATCCAACTTTCCAATTACTATGATCTATCAAAATTTACTCCTCTAAATTTTCGTAAAAAGAAACAATGTAATAATGTTTAGTTAATACATACAATTTAATTGATATAACATCGAAATAGATTGAATGCATTAAATAATATTACTATTCTTCTACTTTTAGTAAACCGTACATTCTAAAATATGTTACGAAATTAAAAGAGGGGTAAACATAAAAGGAAAAGAATGCAGTTAATATATATAATATATATATATATATATATATATATATATATATATATATATATATATATATATATATATATATATATATATATATATATATGGGGTAAATTACACCAATCGTCCCTCGCATATATGCCAGAAAGCGTGTTTAGTCTCTATTTTCAAAAATTAATTCGAATAGTCCCTTATGTCGTTATAAGTTGCACGCTTCATCCCTTGTTAGTTTAATTTTGCATGTTTTATCCCTTGTGAGACATGAAATGATTATAATGCCCTTTTTATTTTCTTTTTCATTTATTTTTATCAATTTCAATTATTTTTAATTATTAAAAAGTATTATAATTATTTTTCTATGTTTCTAAAGAATACTTGACCACCACGACCATCGGTAATCCCCAACCCCACCACCGGTAATCTATGTTATCGCCGGAAAATGGAGCACTGCTGCCACCCCTCAACTTACCCCACCCACTCCCCGGTTCAAACCTCATCTTTTCCATTGAAAATAACCACCAACCACCACCTTAATCAATCTTTCATTCACCTTTTTTAAAGCTTCGGTGACCTCAACAACAACATCAACAAAAGTCTGACTAAGCTCCAGTTTAATCTTCTCAAGCTTTTCAAGAACTTGTTTTGCTTCCTGCGTTTCCTCCGACGAAGGATCCAAACAGAAGTGTCGATCTAAATGGTAAGTCGAAGGTTAGGGAGGAGTGCAGATCTATTATACTCAAACCAGAGTGAAGA